ACTCCAATACAGACTTGACACTGGATTAGCAAGATAACAATAGCAGTGTGCTGTCTTCCACTTGGATAACATACTTGGGCACACATACCTCTAACTCCTGGAGGGAGAGATCTCCCAAAAGTCAGTGTCTTGGAGAAGGCATAGGCTCTTTATATAAACACAAAGGCTGCGTTAGAGGCAGCAGCAGGGTAACTGAACAGCTCTGGTGCACATTAGCAGAGCAGAGACAGACCCAACTGCCCACATACTTGTGCAGTACCTGGCTCCCAGTTCTTGTTCCACTTTGGCTCTCATTGTCATCCACTTCCACTAGCAAATACAGTGGCTGGGACTCCTTTGTTTCATTGAGGAAGCCTCCCGTGTCCACTTTACGCTTGATGGTGGAGTTCCAGTGATTCTTCACAGCATTGTCAGTCCTACAGAGAAAGCAGAAGAAAATAAAAAGTTCTTGTTATCAGCAGCCTTAAAGCACAGCTAACAGCTCCTGTGAGCTCCCCAGCCCTGTCCCGTGAGACCAACACATGAATCTCCACAAGCTACCCAGCTCTGACGGTACCAGTGAGCAAAGACACCCTACCTCCCAGGCAGCAGCTTGGCAATCTCAGCCCAGCGATTCCCCAGGACCTTGTGGGCCTCAAAAATGATGCGATCCTCCTCCTCTGTCCACGAGGATTTCTTCACCTCAGGGTTCAGGTGGTTATGCCAGCGTTCCCGGCACTGCTTCCCTAAGCGTCCTTTCAGGTGCTTGGCTATCAGAGTCCATTGTTTGGTGCCATATTTTTTAACAAGTTCTATTACCTTTGAAGAAAATAGAAAGGAAATAAGGAAATGGAGCAAAGGAGACGGTCAATACAGGCATTGCTTTGCATTTCACCTGTGTTGGAACTGCGTACAGGCAGACAGAGAAGGATCCATTAAGGCAAAAAAGCTGGAGGGATCCAGCACTGACACATGACAATGTCACTGATAGGTGAAAAGCATTTCTGCGAGCAACAATTCAACCAAATGCCTGGAAGAGGCAGTTTTCATGCAGTCATTTTGCCATTTGACACCCATGGATGTAGATGACGGCTCACAGAGGGCTGGGACAGAGATGGGCAGGTGCAGCGAGAAACAAGTCAGAGCAAAGCATCAAGTCCCATGCACTCCAAGGCTCCTCTGCCTTCTTCTCTTCCCAAAAACCTGGCTGCATGAACAGAGTTCCCACTGTGCCTACACTCCTCTGACTGCTGGGAGAGCATAGCACAAACTTTCTTTAACAGAGGGTACAACTCCCTGGAGAGGACACAACCTGCAGCTCCATGCCCCACTAATGCCAGAACACGTGGTAGAAGCACCAAAGCAGAAATGAGCAAAATTCACTTAAAAGCCATCTGCTTCGCAATTTCCTCTTCACCTAGGGATTTGACATGTCTGCCTGAAACTCAGTGCAAATGCTTCCAGGTAGGAGATATTTGCTGATTGGCTTTAAATACATCCATGCAACAAAGCAATGTAACATAACATGCTGCCTGCAGCATTTAGCCTGCCAAAATCTCAGAGAGGAGGCCAGATGATTCCAAAAGACTATTTTTACCCTGTCCAGCAGTGCTTAACTGAAAGGTGCAGGTAGCATGTGCATCACAGATCCTGCTCACAGGGCTCTTGATCTATAACTAACATTCCTACTGCTGACTGACTGCCTAGGGCTGACAAATGGGCCACAGATACCCATGTCCAAGGACCTGGAGAGTTTGCAGCACAAAGCTATCCACAGTTTCAGAAAGCTGGAGCCTGGTTTGGCCCTGATGGCAGTGGGCATCAGGACTAGGCTGGCTGGCAATCAGGACATAAAAAGACAAGGGGAAAGTAGGCAGCAACTGTTCTGCTGTTGGAAGGTAGAAGGGCACTGTTACAAGTCTCCTCAGGAAGTATTTTGACGTAACACAGATGGAAAGCCCAGAAGGCAGAAGGAATTATAATAGGTGCAAAATGGAAAGAAATAGGTGAGCAGGGATGTTACAGGGAATCTGACAAACTAAGAAATTTCACAGCAGAACACACATGACTAGGAATTAATTTCAACTTTTCTTAAGGATGTCTGAGCTGCTTGCTCTCAGCTCACTCTGGAACCAACAGAGAGTCTCAGAACTCACAATTCATCTGTCAATCCACAACAGAACAGAAAAAGCCAGATTTATTTTTGGTTAGGTTCATCATGGCCAGGTCAGACAGAGAACCACAGGCAGATGGATGAATTAATTGCCATATCTTCTCTCTCACTTGCTTGCTTACTTCAGCAGTACAGTGTGAAAGAGAGAAGGTGTTCAGCTGCAGATGCCTAGGCCTGCTTCTGCTCATCATGACCACAGCTGCATTAGGCTGCTCAGAACAGGTCAAGAATGGAGCTTTTGAGAGTACCCACAACTGGAAAGACCTACCTACAGTCTGTAAGACCAGAGAGTCTGACACCTCCACTTTGTTGACAGAGGGTCACAGCCCAATGCTCAGATCCTGTCCTTGCCTGACTTACCTTTTGGTCCTCCTCTTTGGTCCAAGGGCCCTTAACCAAGTCTGGATTCAACACCCTCAGCCAACGGTATTGACACTGCTGATCACTACGGTTCTGGGGAAAGGAATCAGAGCAAACATACATTAGACTGGAGGCTCCAAAAACCCCTGTAGAAACGCAGCAGTCCTCACACGCAGTCGGTCCCATGGAAAAACTATAGATGCCCAGAGAACACATACTATGGTTATAGTAGAGGGTATTGGGTATAGAACACAGGGACAGGAACCTCAGTGTCTCAGTCCAGCTCCCAACTCCAGTGTCTCACTCCAACTCCCAAACTCACACATGAACTCCTCTAAGCAAGAAGGATGTGTCACCCTACCCTAGAGGAGCACGAAATTTGTTCAACAGTAGCAGCTACAAAACAAAGCCCCACCATACAAGGTGTTACATAGAGACAGTCAGTGCTCTGAGCACAGGAATCAGCATGCAAATACTACGATTCCCAACCAGGCAAAGGGGCACTTACAGGAAAGTGACTGGCCAGGAACTTCCAGTCATTCTGCCCATAATGTCTTACTAACATCTTCAGCTGCTCATCCTGCAAAGAACAAAGACATCCACTGAGCAAAACATGCCACAGTCACCCCAGGGCTAACAACATCAAGAGAACAATCTAGATATTTTTTAACTGTTAAGCTTTTTATATCTGCATTACAAGGAAGAGGATATATGAGTCCTTTAACAGTGCCCCAGTGCTCAGAAGCCAGCTGGAACACTTTTGACTCAGGGCTCTGTACTAGGGCAAATTCCTGGTGTGTGCATGATGAGAGCAGAGTACAAAGCAAATTCAGTTGCAGTGGTCACATTCAGGCTCACACTGAGCTCTGTTCCAAAGTAGTTTGGTTCAAACTACGCAGCCAGGGCTACCTGCTTATCCAGCCCCAGTATGCCCCTGACCAAGCAGCCCATCTCCCACCTCACATAGTGCCTTCACTTGGCCAAAGAAACAGACCATTCTAAGTACATTGTTACTAACCAGGCAGCCTGCTACCTTTCTACACTGACAGTTCTACAGCACTTCTCTCACAAGCCCTGCACTACAGCCCAGGTTTTCTTGCTCTTACACCTCGCACAAAGCCTGCTATGGGCAAGGAAATGAAACACAAATATGGGCAAACAAAGGTAAGAAATAATTCCATGCCCGACACAAGCCCAAGATTTTGATCTCTGCACAAAGGCTACTCTTACTCCATATTCAGAGCCCAAGGGAAATGAAACGCTTTGTAGTTTTCACAAAATAAAAAGAAAGGACTTCAGAGGGAATAGAAGCAGGGCAGAAAACATGCCAACTCATTTCAGACTCTTCGCCACAATCCTAATAGCCCAAACGCTGTCCAATCTGACTACAGAAGAGGGCATCTGCACTCCATGAACCAGCTCCAGGCCTTTGCCACCCCCTAGCAGCTGCTGCAGGCAGCTGACACCTCACTGTAGGCCCAGATGCTGAAGTGGTCAGAGCTCTTGACTCCCCAGGCTTCAAACTCACCTGACCTTCCTCCCATCAAGGCCTCAGCAAAACAAAGGGCCTTTCCCAGCAATAAGACACCGTGAGTGGGTGTTGTGGCAGCAGGCGAGGAGCGGGATGAGCTGCTCAACCTAAAGCCCTACCAAACTCCACCCACAGCCCTGTCAGCAGCGGGCACCCAGCCCTCACTCACCTCCTCCTGCGTCCACTTGACCTTGCACCTGCCATCCCGCTGCTCGGGCACATCCGAGTCGGTGTCCTGGCAGTGCAGCTCATCCTGGTCTTCACTGCAGAGCAACAGACAGAGCGTTATCCCATTTCCTCCGGGAAAAGCAGGGCAGAGGGAGCAGCCCCCGCTATGCTGAGCTCCCCAGCTGCCCCCCCCCAACACACACACACACAGACCCTCCCTCACCCCCCCCCGCAGCCCCTTCAGCTCCAGGACCCGCCGTGTGTTTGCCAGTCTAGCACTGACACATAGAACGGACGCTCCTTCGGTTCCAGCCCGTCAGTGCGGGCTCCGTGAGCCCAGCCCGCGCCATCCCCCTCCATGCAGCTCCCCAGCCCCCTCCCTCACGCATTGGCACAGCGGGCCCGGGGCCGGACAGCCATGAGCCGCCGGGCCCGGCCCGAGGGCAGCGCGAAGAGGCGGGCGGCGGGACGGCAGCTCCGGGCCGGGCTCCGCCACCCCGTCATCCACACCGCTCGGGGACACCGAGAGCGAGACCCCGCGTGGTCAGCAGCCTCCCCCCCCCATCTCCAGCGAGAGGCCGTCGGATCGTCCCCGCGCCGGGGAGCGCCACTCACCCGCGGCTGCGGCGCGCCATGGCGGCGGGGCCGGGCGGCGGCGGCGGCACTTTCCTATCTCGCGCCAACGGCTGCCCCCCCCCCGCGCGGGGCCGGGCCGCGCATGCGCACAGCGGCGCCGCCCGCACAAAGAGGCGCGCGCGGGAGGGCGCCCTGCGGCCAGCAGCCCCGCCCGAGCGGAGGGCGAACCCGCAGCGCGGCCGGGATAACAGAACCTAACAGAACTAACGCGCGGCATTCCCAAGTGAACTTAATGAGGGAGTTAGCCCGCTAATTAACTGCCAGCACTATAAAAGCACTTTAAGCAGGGGTAAAGGAAGGGCTGCGATCCTGAAAGAAGCCTATAGGCGTTGAAGGCAAGTAGGGCTCTTCTTATTTCCCAGGTATTGCTCCATTTAGGTGCTATTTAAAGTCTCATTTAAGAAGTGTTTGGGCTTCTTGAGCGTTTCTCTTTGGAATGATCGCATAACTGTCCTGAGTAAACCTGTGGGCTCTCTGCTTTTGTTCTCAAAGGGCTCTATTTGGTGTGACTTCTGATGCTGTGTGTCCCCAGGTCATCCTGGCACAGCTGTGTCTGCAAAGCCTCACTGCTGCACTTAGTGGGATGCAGCCTGGCTCTGCCTGGGATAAATGCTCTCCTGACCTCGGGAATGAGAATAAAGCCTCTCTGATGGCCATGCCGGGTGTCCCCTGCAGCAGGGATGCTTTAAGGCTCCTCACACCCAGGGGAACAAAGCTAATAGCACTATGCAGATCCAGTGAGTGCAGCCCTAGGGATGCTACCTTGTCCCCCTGCCTAACAAGGGGCCTGAGAAGTCATTCCGTGGTGCTGCAGTGCTGGTCCTGTGCCCCATTGGGAAATGGGGCAGGGAGGGTGCCCTGCCTGGGTCTGAAGGGCTGCCAGCAGGGGTAACCTTTAAACTGTGTGCTCCAACAGGGACTCCTGGCTCCTCCGGCGCTGCGCCATGCTGTCCTCCCAGAAGCACAGCATCCTGACCATTAAGGACCTTCTGGACAACGGATTTGTGGCTGGGGCCTCTGGGCACACCCATTTCTCTCCTGTGTGCAGTTACTACCTGGACTCCAGTAGCGCCCCGAAGCAGAGTGCCTGGGAGCTGCTGGCAGATGTGGACACCACGAGGGGCAGCCCTGTGTGTATGGTGGCACAACCCATGGGCAGCGGAGTGAGGGCCGGCCTGGGCTCCTCAGACCTCAGCTTCCTCTCCTTCTGCAGGAGCCCCTCCGGCCCTGCTATACTCGACCTGTCAGCTGTGCCCTGCGAGCTGCCTGCTGGGCCTGGATGCTTACTGGATGTAACATCAAGGAACACGTCCACACCGTGCAAGGCTGGGAGGAGCCTCAAGGAGAGAGCACTGTCCCATAGCACCGAGCTGCTGAGTGACCTGCTGTCCCCTGGGAAGCCCCCAGCAGCCAGGTGGGAGATCTCAGAAATAAAGCCCTCCCTGGACACCAGCCTGCCCCTCGATATGAGCTGCTTGAGCTGCTCCAAGCCGGACATATCCCTGCTGGGCACCCCTGTAGTGCTCCCTGTGTCCTGGCCCAGGAGACACGTGGCTCTGTCCCACGAGGCCCAGCTGGGCGATACAGAGCCCAGCTCCGTGCTCCTGCACCAGGCCCCGTGATGCCTCGGCCCTGGCACAGCGGTCCCAGCCGCACGGTGTGGGGGAACACGGTGAGGTTTTTCTCCTCAGCGGGAGGTGACTGCGGTGCGAAGCCGATGGCAGAGCCCTGCGAGCTACAGCCTCCAGCCCAGCTCCCCGCTCCTATCCTACTGCTGTCTTTTGTATTAAGGTAATAAAAGCTTTAAACTTCCCCCTCTGCGCCTTTCCGCAGGCCGGGCCTCGCTCACTGCCCTCCAACCCCCTGGGTTCGTTCTGACTGACGGAGCCCGAAGGCCGTCCGCTGGCCCCGCGCCTCCCCGCCCCAAGATGGCCGGCCCCGCGCCGCTCCCGGCCGCGCCGCTGCCCGTCCCGCGGCGTTACCTGCCTCGCGGCCCCGGCGGCCGTGCGAGAAGGAGCGCCGCATCCTGCCCTTCCCGGCCTGCTGTGCAGGAGCCGGGCGGCTGCCTGGCCCGCGGGTATCTGCGGGGCCGGGGCTCGGGATCCCTCTTCTGGCACGCGGGGAGAAGCACAGGCAGAGCGCGAGGCTGCAGGGGCTGCCAGCTGTGAGCTGGTTGAGATTTTTTTTGCTGTTCAAACTTAACAAGTTTGTACTTCAGCTTTGAGCCTGGCAGAACGCTCTCACCGTGCTGCTACAGCTGCTGGAGCTGCTCTTCCCCTTCCCATCTCACGCTTCCACTCTTTTGTCTCTAAAATTACTTGCTCACACCAGCTTTTAGGGTGTTTACAGGTGGCAGAAGAACCACTATTGCTTCCCTTCTTTCAGGGATGAAAGAAGTGGTAAAATACTACATGAGAGTAAAAGGGAAAAGTAACTTGTACTCAGTTTTGTCAACAGCAGCACCTGTTAAGCCCAGGGTTACCTTTGCTGAGTGCCTTCATTGGATCAAACTCCTTTCAACTTCTGTCAATCAGTAATGAAGCTTTACATGTATTTTATTTCCTCACCCAAAGCAGTATTTCTGTTCATAGAATAACAGTTTAAACACTTCCCAAGGGCCAAAGGGACAGTTTTGAAAGACCGAATGCAGCTATTGCCTCTGCACACAGTTCACAGCAGACATTCTGGCCAAAACAACCTCCATTCAGTGAAAAAAAGCTCTTCTTTTACTTCAGCTGTCAGCATGGCACAAGAGACAAACAGCAAACAGGGAGCTGCTTGTATTCTCTAGCTGCTCAGATGACTTCTAAAAATCATGTTACAACATCAGGAACAGGTGACAAAAACAACTCTGAAAAGGGACACAGAAGGAGAGTGTATTTACAGTTTGCAGTTTAAACACCAAAAGAACAGTACAAACCACATCTATAATTAGCAAGAAGATCGCACAGTTGTTTGGTTCAGCTGTAGTCAGTGCTGGTTGACTGATTGGTATTGATACTGTAGGGGAAAGATAAGGCTTATTATGTAAATCTGAAGCTGGAACATACAAAGTGCTTCTGTGAGTGAAAACCACAACCATATTATTAAAGAAAAACAAATGAAAGAGGAAAAAATGAAAATTCTGAAACATGCTGCTATGATAAAGGATTGTCTGTAAAGTATACAGATGCAAAGTATACAGTATAATCCCTTCTGCCAGTATTACATTGGCACATCTTAGCTGATTAGTAGCTTGGCAGGTGCATTGGGAAACCAGCTTTAGGAAAGTATCCTAAACATGAAACAATGTAAAATGATTGTTTTGGTTTTTTTTTTTGGGAGGGGTGAGGAGAGAAGGTAAGACAAACCTTTTGGAAAAGCAGCAGCTTTTACATTAAAAAACATGGCAGATAAAGATAAGGCACAAGTGTCACAAAGGCCTTACAAAGTGCTTGAGTGGGGGAAAAATCAAGTTTTGCAGTCAGGGTGGCTGATGAAATACAGAACTCTTTGAATATCAAAGTGCAACCTCAGAGAGTTGTTAAAAATCTCCAGCAACACTGACACACAACGTTAATGACAGTGACAAATCTGTTCCTCTCACTTCTTATACCTTGGCTATATTTTCACCACACACTGAGCTTCAGTATTTAATGGATGATGAATTCCACGTGAGTTTCCATTCCTAGTTTAATGTCTCCCTGAGTTTCCTGCACAGCATCAGCTTTTCCTAATAGGGATCCATTAAATCTTAACTTACTAATCCCAACACCACCCCTTCTTTTCATGATGTGCTTCCAACCTTGAAGAAGGCAGCAGTCTGTAATGTCATCACTGTCTGATTTCAATTCTCCCCCTCCTGGAAAGAAACCTACACTTATAAACCTACCTCACACCTTGGTTCATTTTTGCAGAGATCCAAAAGGAGACTGCCTTGGGGTGATACAGTAATATATTTTCAGCATCTCCTATATTTATTGCTGTATTTTCTTTTTCCAGCTCACTAACCAGAGTAATGATCTTTCTCACATCTCAATTAAAAACTACGTGTATGCCAAAAGGGCCAACAGTAAGACTTAGAAGAAAATAAATACCAGAGCAAGAAAGGACCAAACTTACATTGTCTCAGCATAAGATTTATATATAACAAAATTACAGTTTCAATAAAGAAATAGAAAAATAGGAAATTATCTGGAAAATACAAACATTTCCTCAAAAGGCATTAGTTATCCCAATTACTATATGTAACTGATCCATACATTCAGTGACATACTCAGTCTCAATCAATGTACTGAACACAGAGGTTGAAGAAAATCGCTAAGTACATTTTTAATAGATCCAACTCCATCAGGGGAAAGCCAGGTCTCAGTTACCATTCTGGAATCCAGCTTCACTTGTATCAGTATCGTGTTCCTTAGGGAAGAGGAAAGGAGAAACAAAATCAGAATAAAACATTTCACTATGCAGGTTATATACTATAGTTTGTATAACATAACTAGTGTCAGATTTTGACCTTAACTGGACTGTTTGAGATACTTGTTAGTAAAAACAGCTGATCTGCCAAACAGAACTATAAGCATAAGGTACTTCTTTACTGTAAATTTGAACACAACATTCCCTGTAAGTAACAATGCTAATTTTACATTTACATTGTAGCATTAGCAAGCATAGGAACACCCATGAGGGCACACTGCTTTTACACGTTGTGCATGTAAATGACTGAAATTACTCAAACTACACTTGCATGTATCAATACCCCCAATTAAAATAAATGGGAGACTTAATTAATTGAGCATTACACAATCTATACCACTATAAGTATTCCTCCTGTACTATACTTACACACTATACCTCTTGCCTGAGACAAGAGCTGCTGCTACAAAGATGCATCATCCTAGTGCTGATACAACAATTCACTTGCAACTCTGTTATTAAAAATACCTGATTCAGTTTCTTAAATTCAACCACTTGGAAGAAGATGTGCTCCAGAATATGTTTGGCATCCTGTTTCTCCTTTGGAAGTTTACTTGTTACACCTAGGATATCGCCACACTTTCGTACATAAAACTCCAGGTCATCATCAGTACCTAAACAAGCATCACAAGGAAAGAGGCAGGTGAGCATGAGACATACCTGTACCAGCTGGGCAAAAACATACCACCAATCTCCATTCATTTCTGGTATCCTGGGGAGTCTACAAATAGGTTCAGAGAACTAGTCATGATGTATTCCTGCAGCCAGTACTTTCTCATCTTGTCAGTACTAGATATTGAACTGCTGACTTCAAAAACCACTCCCCAGAAGAACAGAAAGGGAGGCCAGCAACTCTCTAAAATAACAGCAGGCCTTACAAATCAAATGCCCATTTGGAAGAGGAAAATACAGGGATAGGAAGAGGAAGATACACTGCTGCTAACTGATGTGTCAAGAGCTGTAACTCATGAACCAGCTTCCAACACTCAAAGCATACTTGACCCAGGATTACAACAATGAATTTTCATAAATTACGACCAGGTTAAAGTAAAACACCTATTTTCTTACAAAAACTTGCAGATACACATGTGAAAAATCAATCTGCTAAGCTTACATTTGTTTGTAATCTCTGCAAGACGAGCTTTCTCAGAGGAAAATGTTTCATCCAAGTCAAACAGCTCCAGAGGAGGAGGAGGCAATTCTCTGAAAGCAGGTGGAAAAACCTTGAAGAGAATTAGCATTAGTTTTATTGACAATTATTTTCCTTATACTTCAAAAATCTCCAAGACAACAGTTTTAGACTGCACTTCAATAAACCTTTTATCAAGTCAAAAGCAACTCCAAAGCCCAGAGTACAAATGCACATCCTTTTAAAAATTTCATTTGTGGTTTGTAAAAATAACTAAATATTTCAAGATTGTAGTCTCTAGTATGCCAGAATTATCACTTAGAACAATGACAGATGCTATATTTGCAGTTTGTTTTTAATTTTGCTCCAAGACATCCAGGTGATTCCATTTAGTACTGAGATAGTCAAGGTACTAAGCAGACCATAACTACTCACCTTGAAACATTTCTGTGCTAATTTTGATGAGGGTATTTTCTTTTTCATGCAGTCACCACATGTGCCACTACTGTGACTCTGCATTTAACAGGGCTGACAAGTGCTTAAAAGAGCATTTTATTTCTAAATAAACCTGTTTTTAAAGAGCGCTGCAAGAGATACGACTTCCAGTTGACCCCTGAAACTAGCTGTAAGTTATCACAGTAACATTTTCTCTGTGGTCAAACCAAAACAAGCCACAATGGCAGAGATAAAAATAAGTGTGACACCACTGAAGCTCATGGTGTTGGTGCCAGTCCAAACCTCTGCAAGTAAAAGTTTGGCCAGCCCTTGCTGTAAAAGACCAACACTTTACTTTCTTCTTCTCCCAAAAATGCAGAAGGTCAGAGAACAGTGGAACTGACTGGAACTGACTCCTCCCCAGTAGCATAATTAGATTGATGACAACACCACTATTTGCTAAAACACCACTTTCTGTTTTCACAGTAAAAGCAGAACCCCAAAGCCTTACAGGGCCAGAAGCAGCTACACGGATGAAGTGGTTATACATGCAAGGCATTCCTAGAGATCTTTCTGTACCATGCCAGATGCCATATTTTCAAGTTCAGCTGACAAAAATTACAAGTGTAAAAAAGCTACTTCTTAAGAGTCAAATATGTTGCAAGATCAGTATTCCTCTCCCTTTTTTTTCTTGAAAGAAACATAGAAACAATGCACAGTGTGTCCATATGAAACAAAGACCCTCCAGGTCCTGTATCAGCAAGATTACTTACAGCTGGCTGCAAGACAGGTAGTGGAGTCTCAAATTGAGGCTGAATGAGTTGGAGAGGTTCATGTTTCACATTCAACTGTTCGTAAGCTCTGCAGTAAACAAAAACAAAACAAAAAAGCATGAGAAAAGAAATAACATAATTTGTACTTAAATGCATTAAGGAGTACAGAAGTTAATTTTGCAGAAAGTAATGGCACAAAAAACTACGTATTAGCAATAACTGACTTTTAAAGCAAGCAAACTGAAGTTATGGCAGAGCAGACAATGATAGACAGACATAGAATGATAAAATAGAAGGAAGTCACACCTGTCAATTATTCAAACAACTTTTAAAGGGATGAACACACACAAGGAATAAGTGATCAAGTTTAAAAAGAGTTGACTGGAGATTTCAACAAAGTTTTTCAGAAAGTCCCTAACAAAAGCCATTTAAAAAATTATTTGCTATGGGATCAGAAGGGACATTCCAGTATGAATTCACATTTAGGGAAAATATAAAAAAATACAGAGTAAGAAGAAGATGTCCACAAAGAGTTTCATGAAGTCTGTGCCAAGCCTGCTATTATTCAACATGTTCATACATGATATGAGTAGCGTAAGTTACATGGGACAAAGCTGCTAGTGATAGAAAAGTGATGAAACCAAGCAGCAGATAAATCTTCAGGCAGAGAATTGCTGGGAAATGCAAAGATGAAAGAAACAGAGCTTCAGAAAATGCCAAGCAATAATACAAGAGTGGAAAAACAACCAGCTCTCAGAAAGTATCTCTCTCTTATCCCTCCAGAAAGTACCCAACATCACTGCATGCAGTTCTACAAAAAGTATCAGTTCCTTGAGGCAACTGATAGAAAAAGTAAAAAAAGAATGTCAGAAACTACAGCAAAATTCATATCAAGGAGAAAACCTGTTAAACCAGAAAAAAAAACACCTGCAGAAGAAGAGAAGACCACACTATCACACTGAGCTCTGGTATATATTCAGAATGCGGTACACAGTTCAGTTTCTTCTGCTAAGTGGACACAATAAAAACAAGCAGAAAATATAGAAAAAAAAAAAAAGAATGTAGCACATTAATAAATAAGTTCACAGCTGCTGACTTGATAACTGAAGGGAGGGCAGTTGTGTCCAGCTGATACAGGGATGTATCAAACAGCTTTGTGAAGTCTCTTGGGTTCTCATCTCCTTCTTGCAGGCAGACCCGCAGTTGCTCAGACAGTGCAGCTGTATCTGGGAGCAAGGTGTAGTCTGAAATCTGAACAAACACACAGACATACACATTATTAAGAAGACCAAGCCAATCACAGTCTCTTACTAGTTTCCACCTCTCCTAATGTCATCTAGAAATAATTACTCCATTCTCCACCAGGCACAACCCTTTGAAGTGCAGCTTACACCAGAAAACTGCAGACTCTGTTCTTAGCTGCACAGGTGCTTGCTGCATAGACACTGTATCTGAATTTGTTAGTTCTTGTTAAAACCAAGAGACAGCTGAACACTCAACTATGCAAGACTTTTTCTTTTCATATACACAGAGTATACAATTTTATCACGCATATTTCTAAATAAAAAATAATATCTGCATATGCAGATAAAAAAAAATAACCACAACTAGAATTGATACAAAGGTTGATCCTTAACCAGATAAACAAAATCTGCCTTTGCTTCACGCGTTTCTCTTGACTGAAGGCTCAAAGCTGAAGTACAAACTTGTTACGTTTGAACAGCAAAAAAATCTCAAACAGCCAAAGTGGGAAAGGTCTTTCACAGCAAACTTTATGAATAAGCACCAACCCAAGACTAAAATAGACATATTTTTTTATTCTCAATTTTCTCTCCTAGTCTGTCTAGCAATTCTTCAACTTCTATCCAAAATAAAGGGTCTGTAACAACAACAGCATTCATTTAGCTGTTAGCCATTCCGCACTAAATCATGGCTTGGCAAAACCAGCACTGCTGGACCACTCTATTATTTACTGCCTTGTGAAGGATCTCTCTTACCTCAGGGTCTTCCATGTCCATCTGGTTTAAATGAATATCTGATGTTGTGAGCCACTGGAAAAGTATATCCTGGAAAAGGGGAAAGCTTTATTCAAATCAGGAAAGCCCAAGTTCATTCATATTAAATGTAATAATGTACAGCAAAGAAAGAAGTAAAATGGGTAATAAATCAAAGAAAATCTAGAGAGAAAAGACAAACTTTAATTTTTATTTACTTATGGGAAGCAGTGATTCACAACAACAAGCATACCCTGTGTGAGATGTGTGCTTTCAGGAAAAACCTCTTCTTACAAATAAGGGCAGTATGCACTACACCTTGGAAAACTCATTACAACCTATCAGGAACTACATATACAGTGGTTTAGTATTAATCATGTACAAAAAAAATCAAGCACTAAAGAAGCTAAGAAGTAACAGACCACAAAAGACCTACTGATCATTTTTATAATACATTGTACTGTTAAAAACTCCCTTCTGTTAATTGTGCTGTGACAAAGTCCCCAGGATGTTAGCTGTTAGCAATGGGTAAGACTCCACACCAAATCACTGTACAGCTTTCATGGCCAAGAGGAAGCTACTAAGCTTAAATTCCTTTATAACTCTGTGAAGATACACATACTTTTTTAACTTACCATGATCTTACCATTTTCTTCTTTATCTAAATATTGATCACTGAACATGTGGCAAGATCCCAGTGCTGCCATCTTTCCACCTTGACTCTATCGAGAAAGAATACAATATAACAAAAAAACATTCCTAGTTGCAGTTTTAGAGGCAATTGTTAATGGCATCTAATTACAAAGCAATTAAAAAAAACAAGAAATGTTGGAATAAGCATTGAAGGCACTTTCAAACATGGAAAGCTCACAAGAGCGCAGCATGCTCTGCAGGCTCATAAATTCAGTAAAATACTGATCTTTTTGAACATTAGAAAGACCATTGGCTGGCAATCCAAAAAATCCCATATTGTCAACAATAGCTGCACTTATGTTATGTTTGCAGAAAAAAGAACACTTTTTTTGATGCAGCAAAAAAATAAGTGAAAAAAATGGAAACCTAAAGGACAGCAACATGCATGCATATCAATACAGGATGTGAGCACATCAGCTAACAACTGAGGAGTTTGATAATTTCATTGCTTCTAATATAAAATGCCAAATATTGAGGCCCTTATATTTTTCTTTAGCTAAATCAAACGTGCATAAAAAGGCATTCATGAAACAACTTTGGTATTCTTCTCTATCCAGATTACCCCTCATGCCCTCCACAAGGGCACACATACGAAATAGGAAGTTTTCACCATGTGTGCTTCCTGCACCAGCTGTGGAACTCGTGGCACAACATAACCACACAGACTGCTGCAATGACATTGAAGAAACTCAGAGCTCCAGTTTGTCTAACAAATTTCTGGTATTTCTCACTCCACATTTTGCAAACAAAACTCAACTTGAATTCTAAATGTTCGATTCCAAACAGAGTAACTAGACAGCATCCCCTGCTCTTACTTTCCACTCCTTCAATTTTTGTTGCTGTTCTTTACTGCGTCTCTTCTTTGCTTCAATAGATTCTGTTTTCCTTCTGGTACGTTTCTCTGCTCTGCCTGAGAAAGAAGCTCTGTCTCTGGCTTCATCTTCTATCTTTTTGTCTACAATTTCTGCAAGCTAGACAGGAAAAATGATGCCATCTATTCGAATTCACATGGTAGTATTATAATGCAGGAAGAACTACAGGTGACATGTAATTGTTTCCATTTCAGTGATCAACCCGTGTAGAAGATCTTTTGGAGGTACAAAGAAGTTACATGGCTTTCACTTGGAACACAATATATTTGTTATATTTCTCAGAAGAAAACACATTTCTCTGTACCCACGAGGTGAAGCATGTGGAACTTCACAAAAACAAGCACACTCTTGAAATGAGAACACTAACCAGCAAGGCTGTAATCCCAGTGAGGCTTTACATAACTTCAGCAATTTATGTCACAAAAATACATCTCTGCATTAATGCAAGTAATTTCAAGATTATCATGGGTGTGAGATTAGACATCAGTCTATAGGTCCATTGGATTTATGTGCAAATATTGTGTCAGGGGAAGGGATTTTATTGTATCTTTTTCCAACAGTTGCACACAAAATACCAGCAGTAAGTGTACTTGTAAGTTCACTCACACTGCTGTATTGTCTTTGATTTACAGGGTGCATTTCAGATACAACGTGGGGGAATGAAGACAGATAACTTCAGTAAAAAAATAAAGAAAAATCTCCTTCCTATCTAAAATACGAAAAAAATAAAAACAGTGTTAGAAAGTTATGTACACAGTAAAGAGCATGTTAATGTAGCTATGTTCACTAACAATATTAATTCCTTATACCCATCCACTACTAGTAGTTTTCTTTTTTTTAATAAACTAAGAAATCTGTACAGATAACAGACATCTACCAGTTCTGAGCTGATGGTCCTCTTTCTTAATCCAGTATAAACTAAGCTAACAATCTCATTAAATGGTCAAATTACATGGTTTCCTCCATGCAGAATCATACCTCATGCTGATAGAATGCAAGAATAGGTCTGTTGAGAGGGAAGCAGACAGATCCTGTTGACAGAACAGCCACTGCCGGTCTCATCACATTTAGTGTGGCACCAAATGGATACACAAAAGTGAGAGCTCTGCAGAAAATACACAGACTCCTTAAGTGTCTGCATGCATCAGACAGGTTCGTCTCATCTATAAAACAGTCTATCTGCCTAAGCTGATTAGTTTAACCATGCACTGATGGTGGAATGCCAAGAGCCCTGTTTGAGAAATTCAGATCACCATGACATTACTTTCTATGAGGTGTTTCCTGGCTCATAATTTGTCTGGGGTAAAAAGAAAAAAATAGAAAAGATTCCTCTCGATTTCTGTTTGCACACTCATGTGCCTGAGAGAAGAGCAGGCATACTTAATCATAGACAAATATATATATTAAATGTTTTTATGCTTATCATCTTCCTTGTGATCAGCCACACATTTTCTGTACTAGTCTATAAACTAGCAGCAAGAAAAAATAAAAACATTTGAAGTTATTTGTGGAAAGGGTGTATTATTCTCAATGTCTTTTCATTCCTCTGCAGAATAAAATAGCGCAGGCAGACAGAAAGTTAAACATCGTAACACATCTACCTGACCCTAGACTAAAAGTCTTTGGAAAAAAGTAGGATTCCTCTTCTCTACAGTCAGACCACTCACCAACTAGAGGCACCAACTCATGCCTATATATGCTGTTCAATCAAACTCAAATATAGAGAGAGGGGAAAAAAAAAAATCTGGTCAAGAAAGTAATAATTCCCCTCAAAATCTATCATTTCTGCTCTTTACTTGCAGCCTTCTTTCCAGATAAAGTCTTGGGAAGCAAGAAGCTGACTGACATATATACATTAGAAAAGCTCATCATAAGCTAAATAAATTCCTGCCTATGGAGCCTATCAATGGAGCTGAGGCTAAAGCTTTTCACACCAGCTGCCCCAAAGGAAAACACTTACTGTGAGTTATGCCCATTCCCATCTTCAACTGTTGTCTCAAGCACTGTTTTTCTTGCAGCTTCACTGATTCCCCTGCAACAAATTGGAAGCAAAGCCTACTGAAAACACTATGGGCTAAAAGAGTTTATTGTAAAGATGTATATAGCCAAAATACCTACCTATTCAAAACTCCATCAGAGATCAGTGCTTCTTTTGGGTGGTAGTACTTGTAATATACATTTCGTACAACAGCATCTTGGATAAAAAAGAAATGAAATAAGAGGAAATTTATATCTTAACTGATCAGTATGCTAAATGTAGCAATTTAAATAAGTTTAGCTCTGGGCTCCCTTGAATGTTTCTTTCTAACACTGCAAAGCTGGCACATGGCCCCTTCGCTATTGTTTCCTTCTGGACATAAAGATTTAGACAAGCAACATACTTGCAACATAAAACTATGAAAAAAGATCACATCCCCATGTCTTCTGCATATTCTTAGAATAATAATTTAAAAAAGATGAAGTTAAAAGAATTCTTATCAAAGTTTTTAATACATCTCCTAAAGCATGATGATGATCAATAGCGCTGATGCACAAAAAAACAGAGAACAAAAAAATACCACAGTCCAAATGCCACCAAAGAACCTACAAATATTTCCTGTACACTGAGACACACAGTTTATTTACACTTTGGCAGTGCAAAAGCTAATGGATTGCATGTTACTGGTCTCCTCCAAGAAAGTGCCACAGCTGCTTCAGGTGAGGTACAGAGATGGCCAAGTTGTTACAAGCTGCTGTGCCCATGGAAAGCCCTTGGTGTGCCTCAGTATTACACTACAAAGCACACACAGGTTTCAAGAGAAACATATCCTGAAAAGATCCAAGGGCATACTTTGTGTGCAGGACCCACAGAGCTCATACCCTACTGAGGTATAAGCTACAGAGACTGAACTGCTCTTAGATTTTCTAGGAAATGAAAGAATAAAAGGTATCAGTGAGTCCCATTACCATTATTGAAAACGATCCCATATTCTTCTAACAAAAAGTTAATGTTTGTGCCAGATCTGGACTCGCCGCCTTCTCTTAGCATCACCAGGATGGCTCCACCATCCTCCAGGAATTTCTTCAGAACCAAAAACTAAAAGACAACAAAAGTCCAGAAAAAAAACATAAATGAAAGAAGACAACAGCAAGACTGCAAGAATCATAGAATGGGCTGGGTTGAAAAGGACCACAATGCTCATCCAGTTCCAACCCCCTGTTACGTGCAGGGTTGCCAACCAGCAGACCAGGCTGCCCAGAGCCACATCCAGCCTGGCCTTGAAAGCCTTTAGGCATCCACAACCTCCTCGGGCAACCTGTTCCAGTGTGTCACCACCCTCTGTATGAAAAACTTCCTCCTAATATCCAACCTAAGCCTCCCCTGTCTCAGTTTAAAACCATTCCCCCTTATCCTATCACCATCCATCCTCATAAACAGCTGTTCTCCCTCCTGTTTATATACACCCTTCAAGCATTAAGATGATTCTGACAACCTGCAATGAATTTGATGCTATGAGAAAAGCATTCAAATCTCAAGCTGTGTAAATTCATACAAAGCAGTAACATTGCAAAATCATCTACACTGTTATTTTTTATTTTGCATTAAGCAAATCTTAAAACGCAGCCCATGTGCAAACAGGTATGGCTTTAAGTTGTAGGAGGGAAGATTGAGGTTGGATATCAGGGGGAAGTTCTTTACTATGAGAGCGGTGAGGTGCTGGAACAGCTGCCCAGAGAGGCTGTGGATGCCCCATCCATCCCTGGAGGTGTTCAAGGCCAGGTTGGATGGGGCCCTGGGCAGCTGGGCTGGTATTGAATGGAGGTTGGTGGCCCTGCGTGTGGCAGGGGGTTGGAGATCTGTGATCCTTGAGGTCCGTTCCAACCTGGCCATTCTGTGACCCTGTGATTCTTACCTCAGCAGCACTGAACTTTTCTCTTGGACCAGCTGTTATCCACAGTTTCACTCCATAGAGCTTCTCAGACGTGATCTCATCTTTTAAGCTACAAACAGACAACAACAAAGACACGCTATTCTTGTCCTGCACCACCACGTTATTAAGAACTGCCAAACAAACATTCAGCAAATCGCTCCATTCGCTTCCATCCTCTTGCTTCCGTTTGGAATGCACAACTCAAACGAAGAGAATCAGAAGCTTCAACCCACCAAACATTAAAGCACGTCAGCGAGGCGGAGCCACGACTCGTTCCTCGCTCCCGCAGCGCGGCACCGAATCGCAAAGCTAAAGCCGCGCAAACGAACGGCTTCCCTTCCGCCCCCGGGAGCCCCAGCAGGGCAGCCGAACCGCGCAGCACCGCGAGGACGGGGAGAGCAGCGGCCCGGCCCTCACCTCAGGATCTTCCAATTCCCTCGGAGCCTCTTACGCCACGCCTTGTAGCTGCTGGCGGGAGTGAAGGCTTCCCCTTTGGAAGCGTTGAAGACGATGGCGTTCCGCGGGCCCTTCTCCATAGGGCACGCAGCGCCTCCCGGCCGCCCGGCAACGCGCCGCCCGCGCATGCGCAGCAGCCCGGAGGGAAGGCGGTCGTTCGCCGCATCTCCCAGGAAACACTGCGGCTGGGATCGTACCGACGGCGGCCGGTAGGGGGCGCTGTGCCGTACAACCACCAACCCCCCCCCCAGCGGTGACACAGAGGCGGGAGAGCAGAGCGGCGTATCGCGCTTTAATTGAAACCGTGCTACAAGAGAAACGTTCCCGTACGAGCTTCCCACAGTGCGAACAGCGCTCGCCCCCTTTTTCCTCCTCCCAGCAGCGGTAAGAAAAGGACTCGAGGAAAGAAAAGGGAAAGCGGCGCTCAAGCAGTACACCGGCATTTAAATTAAGGCAGAACAAATATCGCGTGCACGTCGCGACAGGCATCGTCAGAGCAACGCGGGCACCGGAAGGCTTCTGCTGAGGAGCAGCGCAGCAGCCGTGCCAGCAGTAACCGACCGGCAGCGCGGGGCGGCTGTTCCCGCCCTCCTTGCACCAGGGCAGCTCCGCTTCTTCAGAGGCGTCCATCGACCTCCCCAGTTCTGCTCTGAAGTGCCGAAATCCAACGAGCGTTTACAGGAGGAGCAGGGGAACGCGTGCAGCTACGAGCTTTTTTATTGGCCCTAGGCAGAAGGCTCGCCCAACTACCCTGCTTTAATCCAGCCTTGCTTCTGTGATCAGATTGTCCTTTTCCCGGCCGTTCAGATGAGCGCATCCTACTTCAAAGGAAGAAGCCATTGATTTTCCCACCGCTGTGCTGTGAAGAGTTTCCCTTTGTTACAGGGAAGCCAAAGCAGTCAGGCATGCCGGGCAGCATTAGCTCCACACCATAGAAATGACCTGTTACAGAGACGTGGCTGTGATGTGAGTGATGGTACGTATATCCTAGTCCTAAATACAACCACGGTGAACACAATCCTACCAAGTAGTACAGTGATAATTATTACCAGTGTCTCACTTTCCTTGCTAGAGGAACACACATTTAGAGGCAAATCCACCAAGCAGCACAAATTAAGAGCTCTGTTCCATCCCAACCAGTTAGTGCATTAGTCCCAGTTTCCTTAAACCATGAGCAAATGACATTACCATTCCTTTCAAAAACTGAAACGAGAAAAGCCACAGCAATAACAGCAAACATAAAATTCCATTCAGTTAAAATCTGGCTTCTCAAAGCCTTTATAAAATCTAGAAGTCCTCTTCAGTTGGTGCATAAGAAAATCCTAAAAACGCATCTGAGGCACTGGAGCTGCTGGCTGCTAAATCAGGTGTGTGGGTGATGGAGGCAGAGATGGCTTCCTGGGTGAACTCTGGGTCGAAGTGCCGCAGATCAGCTGGGCCAGCCTAAAGGAGCAGAGGGTGCACCATTTGGGGCAAGCTTGTGGTCTATCCCTTATCACCACATTTGCAGTGCATAACCTGCACTTCAGCATCCCTTGCTATCAGCAAGGGACGCCTGGGGAAGAGCCTTTGACCTTACAGCCCCAATTCCTTGTGGACCACTGTAAGGTAGATATCAAATTAAATACCCACTTACCACATTAGGGTTGAACGGAGGGGTAATCCTCTTGTGGTACAAGTCATCCCAGTTTATTGGGCTGAAGAATACGTGGTTCTTTATCTCAAGCTGCACGGAAAGGGGGAGGAGATGTCAGTTGTCTGCTAACCCTTCTCTTTCAGTATCTGCCAACTGGTTTCATAGCTGTAAGTCATTGAAACAAGACTCGGAGCTGCCACATGGACCCTATGTGGACATGTAGGAAGTCTAATGCATGAAGGTCATAGTCCTGCCAATCCCTTGAAGGGATGACACCATTACAGGTGTTCTAGCTTGCCACCACCCTTCAGGAATGAGCCAACCCCATATACCTCTTTTAGGGAACTGGAAAGATCTACCTACATGGAAAGCCCAAGGCAGTGCTGTTACCATTAAATAAATAAATAAATAAATAAAGCTCATCATAGGAAGCCTTCTTATCCATCCTCCCTCCTAATCATAAGGGAGGCCACCTACAAAGTCTGATTTGGCACCCAGCCTCCTCTTCTGGTCCTTGTGGAGAAGTCCATGGAGGATATCACAGGCTGCCACAGTCTTGCTTCCTTGGATCTGGAGTTGCTTGTGGAGAATGTTGTCATACATCTGAGACACATCCCGGCTATAAAAGGGAGGCTAATATGAAAGAGAAGAGAAGCAGCCTGTCAAAGTATAAGCTACAGTAAGGAACCACACATCACTGGCCAAGATGTGTCCCACAGGGAGAAGTTAAGGGCAACCTGAATCTCTGTGACAGTAAGGGCATGATTGAATCCTGCATTCAGTTACCTGCCTCAGTTGCCCATACTGAGTGCCATAGGTACATGAGGTTGATATCACTTCACACATTTGAAAAAATAAGTTCTCCACTAAATAAAATAAAATAGCTTCCAAACTTACCAGTCCAAAAAGCATCTCATAGAGGACAGCTCCCAGGCACCACCAGTCTACTGTCCTGTCATAGGGCTGCTTCTTTAGCACCTCAGGAGCTAAATACTGGAAGAATCAGAAGTAGATACTGGAGTCCAGTCATAAAGGAAGGGCTTCACCTTTGTAAGTATACAAACCTGGTTGCAGTTCAAATTCAGCAAATTCATTCGGAAGAACTCAGCAGCATCTTCAAATAGGCTTACAAAGATTCTCCATTTGCCAGAGACACCCACCAACACCCAACTCCCCACAAAAAAAAAAAAAAGAAATTGTTTTCCTGGGCTACAGTGTGCTTTCTTCCTACAAACAGTTTGTACAGGGATTGGCCACCCACCAACAAAACCAGCAAACTTGTCCCACACTGTCATTTTGAGGTGGTTGCAGTTTCTGCACCCAGTAGATCCATCTATCCAAAGCAATGAAACTACTCAGAGCCCAAGTGCAACAGATAAGTATTCACGTGGCCTGCAAGACAAGCAGCACATCAAGGCTGGTCTCGCATATGATCATTTCCATGTTATCAGGCTCCGTGTAACAAGGAGGCTCTCAGCCTCAGCTCATAGCAGAGCTCCAACACGGGTCATACCTCAGGAGTGCCACAAAACGTAGAGGTAGTCTCCTCTTCCTCCATTCCTTCCTTGCAGAGTCCAAAGTCTGTCAACACCACATGTCCCTGACAAAAAGAATTTCAGCCTGGCCCACTTGTTCATGAAAAACAGTAGGATTTCCAAGCATTGGCCTTCACATTTAATCTAATCTATGTTTTAGTGTCCCACTGGTCACTTATTTTCCTTTCCCTCACCTTCTGGGTGTCCTATCATGCAGGTCTATGGAGATAATAAGTAAGTATAGACATTCTCTAAAGTTTCACTACAGCTGCACCACTGTGATGACATCCAACACTGCTGTGCCTCAGCACTGCTTTGTCCCAAAGCCAGGTGGAATAGTGTCACCACCAGAGTAGCAGTGACTTACTCTTAGCACTCAAAGTCCCTCCCCACAAGCCAGGTCCCAGCTCTTGGGACCAAGCAGAACATTTTGTATGCAGTTCTACAGAACATGTGCTTGCTCCCTCTTGCAAGATCTGGACAGAAACTTAGTGGTATATAGATGCAAAATCCATGCAATGGAATAAGCCACAGCTTGTAAAACTATAGCCCTCTGGTTATGATGCCAATGCTTTTAAAAATCAGAAGGCAGCATGAGAGGTGCATGTACCTGGCAATCCAGGAGGATGTTCTCAGGTTTTAAATCCCTGCAAGGCAAAAAAATTTTTTAGTAGATCAGGCTTTTCTAAATATCTGGCCTAAACAGCAACGACATCAGGTGAAAGGAGGAACTAACAAGACCTCATAAGCCAACTCACCAAGACCTTTCCAAAGTGCAAACTCCCATTGCTCTTGGGTATTAATATATACACATTAACATAGAAATGCTCTCATACAGGGTCAGATATTAATTTGCATTTCACTACGTATGATTTATCATAGAAACTCTTATTTCTTTAGTAAGGTTTATCCTAAATCTTTCTATGCAACTACTGTCTTCTCCCCACTACTGGGCTGGGAGTGTTTATTGCCCAGCAGGTCCCTCACAGTGCTGAATGCCACTACACTTCACATGGACCTAAAAACCTCTTTTCTCTCCCCAGCCCTGCACCCAGCTGGCTGGTGGATCCATTGCCCCTGCTCTCCCCAGCATGGATGTGTACCTTACCTATAGATGATGTTTAAGGAATGCAGGTAACCAATTGCACTAGCAACTTCTGCAGCATAGAATCTTGCACGGGGTTCACGGAAACAACGCTCTCTTTGCAAGTGGAAGAACAGCTAAGAGAGAGAAGAGGATTTATGGCCACTCTAAAAGCAGAAAGGTATCTTCTGGCCCACAAGCCAGCTACTCAAGGGAAAGCTGATTTGTAGCAAGGGGCACACAAACTGCACCAACTAAGCCCAAACCAAGTAGCCTTATTTCACTATCTAAGCACCTTCCCAGGAATTGTTGCATTTTTCTTCATATCAATATCACACCTAAAAAGTCATTGCCCAAAACCTGACCATCTGCTGGTCTACTTAAGCTTCCTTGCTAGCTCTAACCCATGAGCCAGTTATAGGTGTACATACAGTAGTCTATAGTATGGTCATAAAACAGTATTAACCTAAAAATCCCATGCGTCAGAACCCTGTATAAACAAGACATCTATTTTCATAGCATCTCCCAGTCTGTTTCAGGTAGCACTGAAAGGGACAGCTGTAGAGAGAGCAGCTGTTACACTTCAGAAAAAGCAGCCTGATGTATTGTAGTAGCATCACATCAGCACTAGTCTGGGACTTAGAGCTGACACGAGTGAGTTTTCCATGAAGTTCACCAACACTGGAATTTCTCATGCTCTCCATGGGATTTTAAAACGTCCCTAACTTTTTTCTCAGTTTACTTGTCTTGATAACTAGTGGGCACAGGCCATACTCAGTAATATTTTCACTTATAAGTGATATGCTTGCCAGTCCCTCCTTGCTGTTCTTTCCAACAAAATAATGTTATGCTTCAGCATCATTATCTCTTGACAAGAAAGTTTTAGGCAATAAAATAGTATGCCTGGGAGAACCAAACAGAAGGCTTAAAGTTTGTACTCACCTCTCCCCCATTTACATAATCAAGCACAAAGTAAAGCTTCTCCGAGGTCTGGAAGGAGTAATGGAGGCCCACAAGGAAGGGGTGCTTGACATTTTTCAGAAGCACGTTGCGTTCTGCCATGATGTGGTTTTGCTATCAAAAAGCAATAAAGGAGAGAGCTCTCCAGAACAGTCTGCTCTACAGACTCACTATTGTTCTGAAACCATATGAAATCTGGGAACACTATGGATCATATCCAGCCCCCAAAGTGAAAGTACTCCCCCCCAACTTTGCTTCATCTCACAGATAAATCCATGCTTACTGTGTGCATTGCTGATGTGAACACTCACTTCAGCCACCAGATGGTTCAATTGCATTACAAGGATTTCTTAGATACCAATCACTATGTGTATGCATGGCCAAGGAGAGCAGACATACCTCTTTTTTCTTTAGGATGGTTTTCTTATGCAAGACTTTCACAGCATAAAAAGTCCCATCACACTTGCGTTTGGCCAGGAGAACCTGCAACAGAGCCACGTCACAGCTTTGAGTCCCTCCCTCCTTCCTCACTAGCTGGGCTTTTGGAAGTGATTACACAGCTTCAGAGGGTCAGTGACAAAGTTTTAAAGACCAAGCTCCAGCCTACTGTCTTCCCCTACCCGGGACTTGCAAATTGACAGAAAAAGGCACTCAGCATCTCCAAGTATCTTACACACTCAACAGGAAGTGCTTTGAGAACATTTAGAGGCAGTCCTGTTTCAAGTTCATCATTGCCATCTTACGAAGCACAGCTTTTCCTAGGCACCTTCTGCTAACTGAAGCCATCTGAGGCTCTATTACAATCATTCTTTTCAGTCAAGTGCTACTCATCAACAGCTTGAGCATGAAACACCCCACTTCTTCCCAGAGCGGCTGCAGGGGAGCTCAAAGTAAGAATGGACGGTGGAAACCACTCTTGAGTCCCATCCTGTCTCAGTCCTTCCCCAAACATGGCCAAGACCCTCAGGAGAGGTACAAGAAAAGGACAAATTCCTTCAGTTAGGGCATCTCTAAAAAGATGCAGCCCACCAGTAAAAGCCTACTTACTTTTCCAAAGCTACCTTTGCCAATAACCTTCAGGAAGTCAAAGTCTGTTGGCTTGGCACTGTTGGGCAAGAATGAAAGAAGTTAATGTTTCTAGAAGAAAAACATGCAACAACAACATCTTAATCAAAGCAATCATCTTTCTTGGGAGCAGAAGCATTTGTGAAAGTGACTGAAGGACACAAAACAGGTGACCCTCCCTGCCAGCCAGCAGTCAGCAAGCAGGGGATTCACACTACATGTCAGTGCACTGAGCAAAGGGCAAGGAGCCTCTCAGAAAGCCACCTTCTGAGGCAGTTCACCCTCTTTTATAGAGTGAAAAATCAGTTTGGAAGCCAGTAGTAATGAGGAAAATTTCACCCTATTATCCCTCAGAAGAGGGAGATGTGATTAGAGGCTGCAGGGAACACGGACAGAGGATGATCATGGAACAGGAATGAACTGTAGCTGAGTATCTTGAAAGCTGATGCACAGTGATGTACTTATTCAGTTTTTTGCAGATACCACCCTTGCAGGACACAGGGAGTGCCTGCTTCCCCCTGCCAGGTCTCTTCTAAGAAAGCTCCACACCCTACCTGGCTTCTGCAGGGAGCTTACTTTGGGTTAGCAGAAGGTCCAAGGTTGATGTTGTCAGTTGGTGTTGTAGGCTAGAGAAGAGGACAGCAGTATTAGTTACGAGAACATGCTGCAGCCTGTGTTTTCCTGTCCTTTACGTAGCATCCCTTACCTTTAATAGGCATATCAGTGAGATATGCAATAGATTGGTAAACTAAGTGATGGAGAAAGGGAAGATCTATGCACTGTGGCAATATCATGCTCAAGCTGAAGGCTCTGCTTGGCTGCAGTCTGTGCTCAAGTCCTCATCCCATACATGCAGAGAAAGGATTGAGAGGTGGCTTAGCTCCTGACTCGATGCATCCAAGATTGTCAAGGCACTTCATGGCTCAGTCGCTCAGCACAGCAGGGGTAAGGTGCTCCCCATCACCTATTCTGGGCAGGGAACTCCCATGCACTGCACAGGAGCACTCCTGCAGCAGGCATCAGCACTGTCCCATGCCCTTCCCCATTAAGGCTTCAAACTGTCTGGAGTCTTGGAGGTGACCTTACACACAACAGCACTGCAGGTGCAGCCTCTTTCTTCCCAGTGAAAAACGCACTACATACACATCAGACAAATACATTGCCCTCATCTCATTCTCACAGATTCTGGGGACATTATACTTTACTCAAAATGACTACAAGAGGGCTTCTTCCTCTTTTTTCCACCCAGCATCACCCCCAGGGACAGGGCAGAAATGGATCTCCCAGCAGGCTAACCCAGGCAATCCTCCTCGCCTTTCTCCTATGGTAACTTTCCCCTCTCCATCCCCATGGTAGGGATTGCCAGCTCCAAGCTGGAATCTCACCTGGGCACTGCTGTCTGGGGTCTGGGAACGATCCATTAAAATAGCAACTCGTTCAGCACTGGGAAAGAGAGCAAGGAAGCAGTGAAAACCAAATCCAAGAGAAGCAGCTTCATACCATTAACCTACCAGGTATGATCATGCTGTCTCTATCACAGAACATCAGCTGAGGTCCCCAGCTAACTCCTCAGTATGCCCCCAGGGCATAGAGTTGTAACTGTGGTGGGAAGCAGGACAGTAGGGGCACAAACATACCAATAGGAGATGAGGGGAGAGAAGCTTCACAGGTGCACAAGGAGTTTGAATGAGTACAGACTTCCTAAACACCATGGCTGGTCCTTAATTTGGAATGGCAGTAACTGGTCAGGGCATCAATACATGGAGTCCAGCAGAGCCCCAGACACCCACCCAGTGCACAGTGATGCCACAGCCCCCAGCCCTGCAGTGCAGCCAGGTGGAGGTGCCCTGGGTGGTTTAGACCTGTCCTGCTTGAGCATCGCTGGGTCCTGCCACAACAGCACTTCCCATTAACTTAAAGGGCTCTGCTAAATGCCTCGCAAAAGTCAGGATTAAACAGATGGCAACAGGAAGGTGGACAAAACTAAAATCTGTTCCTTCTCCCTTGCTCCAGGAGGAGTTATTCCCCTCCTCTCCCCCTTCCCCTAAGGCTCTGAATCCCAGACAGAGCAGCTCTGAACATTCCTCCCTCCCCACTCCCCCACCCTCTCTCTGCCTTATGCCATGCACAAAGGGGCCCTGAAGCCCCTACCAGCCCCCCAAAAATCTCACCTGTCAGCAGTGCCCCTCTCCGCCCCACACACAGACCCATGGTCACCCCACACCCAGCGGGCAGCGCAGGGCTGGAGCTGCAGGCACTGGCGGCCATCCCTGGGACAGCCCACATCTGGCCAGTGCCAGCCAGTGCCATCCACCACCAGCATCACCAGGCTGAGCTTTTAAAGGGCTCCCGGACTCAGTGGGTTCCATACTCACTATGAGCAGAGCCTGGAGCCGGATGCCTTGATGGTTTGTTCTATCTTCTCACGGCCGTGCTTGATGAATTCTGCGGGGAAAGTTGGAGCACAGAGCTGATCAGCAGGCAGTGCAATCACAGGCACAGAGGCATGTTTGTTCTTCACTGACCTTGCTCCTCTCCCCACAGCCACCCTCCTCCCCTCCCACCCACATACCAAAATAACCAGGAAATTATAGGAACCAGGACAGCTCCCTCCCAACCCACCTGGAGCCCTCAAGAGCTCCCAGGATGGGGACAGAAGCCCCAAAGCAGGTGCTCCCCTCCTCCAGGGCAGAGCAGGACCAGGGCTCTCACAGCACCACCGAGCCCCTGCCAGCTATTCTGACCCGCAGGAGGGATGAGCAACGCTCACAAGGTTGCTGCTGTGCTGAGACACATCACACACTTGGCACACGTGCAGCCACTTTCATTCAGGGCTCTGCAAGTAATGATGGGCCTGAATGAGACCTTTCAGGGCCCGCAGGAGGTGAGCCAGAGCCTTGGCCAAGGGAATGCAGCCAGCATCAGGATTCCCACCCCGGAGCAGCTGCCAGTACCCGTCATCATCACCATCACCTCTGCCCTGGAGGAAGAGCAGAGCCCTGAGCCCACTGCACATAGGATGACATCAGGAGCTCAACCTGAGCAAGGGAGTTTTCTGTTTGTTCAGCAGCAGATAACAGCAAAATTCTAAGGCTCATTCTCACCCGCTTGAAAGATTAAAAACATCCACACGTGTGCTTCTTCCCCTCCCTTAAAAACAAGTTCTTTTGCAGACACAAGCAAGCTGCCATACCAGAATAGTTCTACTATGGCCAAAGCAGTGGCTGCCAGAAAACACCTCCCCAAACAAGAGGTTGGTAGGAGGACACGTTTTGGGAGGAAACAAGCCCAAGCTAAACTGTAGAGCCCATTCACATTACAACAGGCAGGAAATGCAAGCACCCAAAGCAAACCCTAAACACCTCACCATGCAGCGCAGCAGCCCTGCAGCACCTGCCAGAAGGGGCAGCACCCGGACAGTTTGGGCCTGCTCCCTCCCACCGGGCACAGTCCTCATTTCCCTGTTTGCCTCCCCAACCCACTGAGGTTTGCTGAAGGTCACCTGAGTCAGTTCCTGTCTGCCTCACATGCTGCCAAGCAGACTGGGCAGATATTGCGGGCACAGAGCAGGGAGCTCAGCCCTGACCCAAGGCAGGGGTCAGCACGGGTGACTAGGGAGCACGTGAGCAAAGCACAGAAACACATCCATATAGCAGTACCTGCAGGCAAGATGGGACATTGGGCAGGAGGGGCTGGGAGCTGCAGTGAGGCTGAGCAGTGCTGCTGAACAAAGGCAGGCAGTTCCACAGGGACATGCATGTATTAACACCCCCTCTCCCCACCCCGCATCCCCCATGCCCCACGCTGCTCTGCTGCCAGTGGAGATGTTCAACAAGTCCCTGCTGACCACAGGCACCATCAGGTGCACTCTCTCTGAGAGAAGAACCTCTCTGCACTGAAGCACCATGCACAGCACTAGGCAATGTCCATCCCCATCCTATCCCACTTCTCTTCAGACCCAGAGCCACTTCCACCATCAGCCTGCACTCACCTGCAAAGCCTGGCCAGCTCCTGATTGCTCAGTGGATTAGAGCCCAATAGGCTTTTCCTTACTGCTAGCAAACCCCCCTCTCCCCCGAAAGCACAGAGATTTCCCACTGCACACATACACAGAACAACAGAATCAGAACTAGGTCAGGGAAGCACACAGGAGCTCCGGGTTATCCATGCCTGGCTGCATCACTCCCTGCACACACGGGGCAGTAGGGATGCTCCAGGCGCAGGGCCATGGAACAGCACCAAGTCCTAAAGAGTTCTGTGGCACAGTGACTTACTGCACACCAGGAGCACAAACCATGCACCCCATAGCCCTCCCCAGCAAGCATCACACCCAGCACGGATCTGCTACTTACAGGAGCACTCACTGCAGCGCAGTCTCTCCCCAGAAGCATCCCTCAGTAACACGTTTCCTCCTAGCACACAGCAGCAGCTCCCTCTTTCTACAGCAGCTCTGCCAGCGGTGACCCACATTCCCATGCCAGCCCAGCATTATTTGCTACAAACACATTACCGATGCAACGCGTACCTTGCGGAGAGGCAACCTCATGGACGCGTCATGTGCAGCTGCCTCCCACCCTCCTCCTGATGTCAGCACTCTCAGCACTGCTTCATACTTAACCCAGATTGCAAACCTACTCCCATGCTGGGAACGCAAGGCAGGATGGCCATCGGGGCTTTGGAAGGAGCACAAGACTTAGAGGGAGCCACCAGGGCAGCCCACGGCTCCCATCCTGCACACAGCATGGGGGGATGTCCCAGTTTCAGCACAGAGCAGGAATACAGGTGGTGAGAAGGACTTCTGCAGGCACAATGTTCTGCTGGCAAGGAAACGTTCAGCTTCCCTCTGCTACAGATCTGAGAGATAGCTGCAGGCCACCACTGAGCTCTGCTTCCATGCTCATTAGAAGCCAGAGGAAGGTGAGAAGACAGAAGAGGAAGAAGACTTTAAGGGCTTCTCCACTTGTGGAAGTGCTCTGAGCTGTCCTCCAGAGCTCCTCACCCAGTTGTCTCCTGGGGATCCCGTCTCTGATGCCTACACAGCACTGCAGAGCGGGAGGTACAAGCTGAGCAGTCCCAGCTCCAGCTGGAGCCTACAGACAGCAGCCCTCAGGGTTCTAGAGAGAAAGCTGTGTGCAAACCTGGAAAAACAGCAGGTGGCTGAAGCCTGCAGCACTTTGCAAAGATTAAGACAAAAAAGAACTTAAAACCTGCAAAAATAGAGAGTAGAACATCAGCCACACACCTGGGAGCACGTTGCCCAGCACAGGCTGTGCTGGGAGGCACAGGAAGCAGCGTGCAGTAGGTGAGCACGCAGTGCCTGCAGTCCCCTCACTCCCCATCCTTGCCCCAGCCCAGCCCGCCCCCAGCAGCTCAGTAGCTCCAGGGGGCTCTTCCCCACATCTCAGCAGGGAGCAGCAGGGCTGCCTGCAGCATAACATAGAGCTCATGGGCACCCTTCTTGCTCTGAGTGCTGCTGGTACACTGCAGCCTTATAGAGAGAGCAGGAAAGCTGATCAGCTGCCAGTACGACCTGCCAGATATAGTCAGGGGCTGGGAGCCCAGCTGAGGGTGATGGGCTGTGGGCTGCTGGGGTCCTGTCAGGTGCTTTAGAGCAACATTTTTCTTGTTTTAGTCAGCTGGGCATTTAGTCATGTGGTTGGAGGAAGGTTAGAAGTGCTTGAGCCTAGGAGAAGTTCCTTACAGAGTGCTCCTCCTGCCTGTGGTGTGGGGTTAAATGCAAACACGGACGTGTGGAGGAGAACCAGAGATAAAGCTCTGAGCAAAAGCAGCTATTGCAGAAGGGCTGGTGTCTTCTCTCTCTCATCATTAAAAATAAAAGAGTCTCCTTCGGCTTCTGTTGTCATTTCCTATAACATCTCCTGACTATGCCTGCAGCAGGAGCGTAGCCCACCCAGCAGCAGCTCTGCCTGGTGGTGTGCACTGCCATGGGGCTGTGGGTGCTGCAGTGCCAGCAATGGGTGCTGCAGTGCCAGTGGTGGAGGGAACCCCGTGCTCTGTGTCAGGACTGTGCTCGCTGCTTCAGTGCACCTGATGGGAGTGTGATGGGAGCAGTGCTTGGGCTGTACCCTCCCAGCCCTCATGCCTGCTCCCACGTTGCCTCTGCTCTCCCACTCCAGAGCCCATTACCCTTTGTCTTCCCCAGGGCGCTGGAGGAAGGCTCCATCCAGGTTTGGGCATCAGGGCAGCCGGCCCTGGGTGTCCTTAGGCAGTCCCTGTGTGAAGGCAAAGAGCACACGGTGAAAGGAGGGATGATTGTGGGTGGCTGTGCTGGAGGGCAGGTGTGTCATATGGGCACACGTCCCTGTAGGGCCACACACCTTGTTCACCAGGACAGGCACACAGACAGAACCCTTCATCCCCCACACACTGTGTCCCCGTGTGTCCCCCACTCAGGGAGATGGTGCTGGTGGGAACTGGCACTGAAACTCAGCTCTTAAATCATTAACCCATGATGAAATTAAACATTGGCCAACAGAGCCCCACGGCAGTGCAGCAGCAGGACATTGCCATGTGGCTGCTGGCCCCACTGTGACAGTGTGCCCGGCTCCTCAGCCCTGCCAGTGTCACCTCCCAGCCCTGGGGACACCCTGACAGCTGTGGGACACAGACAGGGACATCAGCCCCATGGATGGGACATTACCCCAATCTGGCTGTCCCCATGTCCCCTGGGGGGATGGCAGTCACAGAGGTCCCTTTGGTGCAGGTTAGCCTTGTTTCCTAAACAGAAGAAATGAATTCCAGGTGCTGCCAGCATCACTGAGGAGTAGGGGGGTCACTACCCTGCTGCCATGCAGCTCAGAGCAGGGCACATCCAGGAAGGACTCCCTGTCCCATCGCATTTGCACACTCTGTTTTGAATTGTTTCATGTACCTATTGTGTAGGGGATGTGTGTGGTTAAGATAGGGCATGCTATCTTCATCTCCCTATCAGGCAATATCCATACACATAATCATAAATGTGTCACTTGCAGAGGAAGCGCGTGGTGCCAAGCAGCTGGGATTACAGGGAAGGGCTCTGATAAGGGGAAAACAAACACTTCTGCAGAAAGCACTGTGTCAGTCTCCTTCAGCCAGCAGTGAAAGGTGACCCACAGCACTCGAGGTGTCAGCAGGGGCTGTTTGGGGCTGGGTTATCAGTGCTGCAGGAGGGATGAGGTGGGACAGAGTCAAGTGGGACAGGGACAGGAGAATCTTTAAAAGATCTGAGCCCATTTCTTCATCTAAGAGGATTCAACAAAGGCTGAACAGACTGTACATGGACAGTGTGGTTCTCTAAAATCTTAGAGCAGTACAGGACTGGCCCCGAGGACAAGGGCAGAGCAGCAGTTCTGCACCGGATTGAGCAGGGCTCAGCAGCACGGAGATGGCTCTGTGAGCTGCCCCCAGAGCAGCCTTGCTGTGCTGCCCTCATTAAGGGCACTCAGGTCCCATGAGCAGCCCCCCCACAATGCCCAGGAGAGGCTGTCCCCTTGCAGAGTTGTGGACACAGCCACCTTGAGCTCCATGAGATCAAAACTTCATTTTTGGTGCACATTTAATGCAAGAAACCTTTTCACGTCCTGCAATATTTCCAAGGGTGAGGATGCTATTTCTCTCCTCCCTGGAGCTGCTGTGATTCCTGGGGAATGAACCTGATTTCAGGTTGGATATTAGTAAACATTTCTTCTCCAAAAGAGCAGTGATGCAGTGGCACAGCTGCCCACGGAGGTGGTGGAGTCACCATCCGTGGAGATGTTCAAGAACCGTGGGGATGTGGCACTGAGGGACGTGGTCAGTGGGCATGGTGGGGTGGGCTGGGGTTGGACTTGATGATCTCAGTCTGTTGCAACCTTAATCATAAAATCACAGAATCATGAACTAGTTGGGTAGAAAGGGGCCTTCAAGCCCATTGCATTCCAACGTTGGCCCCATCAGAACAGGCTGCTCAGGATCCCACCCAGCCTTGCCTTGGGCACCTCCAGGGAGGGGCACCCACTCTTCTCTGGGCAGCAGTGCCAAGGCCTCACCATTCCTGAGTAAAGAATTTCTTCCTAACATCTGATGTGAATTTCCCCTTTCAGTTTGAGTATCTCTTTGATTCTATGATTCAGGATACCTGAGCTCCACTGCTCCCAGCTGTCTCCCCTGCACCCCAGTCCTGTGCCCACCGACTCACCTGGCATGAGGGATGAGCTCTGCACCAAAACCTCTGTGATTGTCCCAAGCTGGCTCAGCCCTCAGAAGAAGAAGGGAAAGTTGTGGAGAAAGAAATGCCTTTACCTGCAGCAGCATGGGGCAGCAGTCCTGCAGCAGCAGCACAGGCAGTGCTCCCCTCCCACCTGCCCTGGGCTTTTGTTTTGGTGATTCAGTCTGAAGGTCGAAAGAGAAGTCAAAAGGAGTGGCCTGTGGTAGGAGTAAATGATTAGCAAGGGATGGAAAGAGCTGGGTGGGAGAGGAAAATCTCCCAGTGGGGCAACCAGAGGACAGCTTGGCTCCAGGAAAGAGCAGAGGGTGAGAGCAGGAGTCACTGCTGTCACCAGGGCACACAGCTCCTGACCCAGACTGCAGGGCAGTCTGCAGGGTCTGAGGCACAAGTGCTGTGCTCAGCTGTGGGCCCCTGACTACAGGAAAGACACTGAGATCCTGGAACCTGTTCAGAAAAGGGCAATGAAGCTGAGGAAGGTCTGGAGCAAAATGGGGTCTTATGGGGAGTGGAGGCTGAGGAATCTGGGATGGTTCAGTTTGGAGAAGAGGAGGCTCAGGGGAGACCTTATTGATGTCTGCAACTCCCTGAAAGGAGTTTGTGGTGAGGTGGGGGTCAATCTCTGCTCCCAGGTAATAGCGATAGGATGAGGAGGGAATGGCCTCAAATTGCACAAGGTGAGGTTCAGGTTGGAAATTAGGAAACATTAATCCTTCAAAAGAATGGTGATGCAGTGGAAGAGGCTGCCCAGGCAGGTGGGGAAGTCACCATCCCTGGAGACATTCAAAGAACCATGGAGATGTGGCACTGAGGGACACGGTCAGTGGGCATGGTGGGGTGGGTTGGACTTCTGATCTTAATGTCTTTTCCAACCTCAATGATTCTCTGATTCTGTGAAGGCTCATGAGGCTGAGACACCACAGCCGAGGTTCCCAGATCCCTGTCCGTGGGGAAGTGTGAAGCCATGAGGTCCTTCGTGCAGCACCAGCACCCAGAGTTCAGCGGGCAGAGCCCTCACATCACTGCAGCTGCCACTGATGTTCCTGCATGGCCACGAGGACAAGGATTTGGTATTGCCATTATGTATTAGGGAACCAACCCAAATAGGGGTGCCCTATGCATGGGGCTGCAAAGACACAGAGCAGTAGGAAAACCTGTCCCCTCCTGGTGCAGATAAGGCCTTTGTGCCATTCATTTTTGGAATGAGAAGGTCTGGAGAATGTTGCAGCACGTGACCAGAAGCTACATATCTGCAGTCAGAAGCCACCTGGAATGGAGATCATCCTTTTCCATCCTTTTCTTCCATTTCTGCTACTATTCTGGGCTTCGTTTTGCTCAGCCCGTTGCATCTCTTGCTGAAAGGCTGCACATCCCCAGCAGAGCCGAATCCACGTGCTGTCACTGCTGCTAGCACAGCACTGAGATGTGTGCTGGGCAGGTGGGGGCTGCCGGCACCACGGTACCACCACAGCCATGCTGGGAGGACAGAGCCTGGGCTCACTCTGTGAGCTGCTCATGCATTACCCGATGGAAGCACAGAGGGAAGCGCTTGAGCAGAACTGACAGCAAGACAAAGCCCAGGGGGGCTCCCAGAATAATACAGCACTTCCCTCAGCTTACGTCAGCTTGTGCCCCTAACAGCAGCCCTTTGGCCCCTAACAAATACAAAACAAAGGGCTGCGTCAGCCCATGAGCATCCCACATCCCACAAGGACAGAGCACAGTGCGATCCCAACAGGGAATGCAGTGAGAGAAGGGCCCTGGAGCTGCAGGGAGCAAAGCAGATGTGAAGCACAGCTGTGTGTGGCGGTGTGCTGTTATGCTGCAGACCCCAGCCCTCCTGCCATGGCTATCCCAGTGCTGGGCACAACCCATGGGAAGGGTATTGGGAGCTCAGCTCAAGCCAGGGCTCCTCCAAGTCCCGTATTTCATTTTGTTTCCCTCTTCTCTACCTTTGGTTGTAAGGGATTTGGGGACTGGCCCCCTCCCCTTCCCCTTCCCCACAAACCTGGTGCCCCAACCCTCCCCCTGCCCCTGCCCAGCCCAACGAAGCAGGCCAGCTCCTCAGATATGTTTTCTCTTTATTGTTTGATATATTTATGTACCACATTATATGTTAAAGATAGACTTTTGTTTTCTGATATACATTTTTCATCTTATTTACCACAATTACACCACACATACATTGGAAACAGCTCCACGGATCTGGTAGATTGCACAGAATGAGTTTTGTCTTGGTTTTGTTTCTGTATCCTGAACGACGTCAAATCCAACAATATATATTTTTTTCTTTTCATTATTCAGAAATAATTCTTAAAATGAAACAAACGAACAACAACAAAAAAAAAAATCACTGAGAAGTGGACTCCAGGTCTGTGAGTTCAACCAGAGGCAAAATGTAATCAATGGGAAGCGCCATTCCTCGTGTCAATCCGGATGGAAGAATTAAGCAGTCTGACATCGATGTGACTACAGTGTAAACATTGCAGATGACTGCAGCACCGGCCATCGGCCGGAGCGTGGGTTGCTGGGCTATTCCTATTCCTACAATCTAGGTCTCATCTACGTCTGTCTCGTGGTGTATGTAAAGGAATGTTGCTGCTCCCAGCACCTGCAGCCCGTCTGCTTCCATCTGTAAACACAATCCCATCGGGTCGGCACCTCCTGCAGCACTGCAGTGCAGATCTGCGGGCAGTGCTGGGAGCTGTTATCCTTTCCCGATGGTTCATTCGTGGGGCTGAGCTTCAGGCAACTGGTGAGGAGGTCGGGGTGGGGCACCATGGATTTTCCTTCCAAATATTTGAAAGAACAAAAAAATAAATATATATCTATATTTTAAATCTTAGCTTATTTAAAAAGATGGCAGGGCACGCGTTTTCATCTCTTCTGATTTCATTTAATTTGCAGGTTCTATAACGTAGAATTTGTTGGATGCATGTAACGAAAGTAATGACTCCTCCTTGAAGGGACGCAGAATCTCAGGGCTATGCGGATGTTCGACGCTATTCTCGTACTGCCACCAGCTCTGGCCCCTCCTTAGTCTTCAGCATTGGTTCTAAATGCCTCTATGAGGCCTTCTAAAGAGTGGATGAACCCGGAGACACTGCAGATCCCTCCTATAACGAAAATGGCGACGTCAAAGAAGACGTGGTGCCACAAGAGCTTCCTCCACAAGAGCTTGAGGTGGAAAAGACTGGGGAGCAGGAAGCAGAGACCCGCACCTGTGAGGCTCCCAGTGAGACCCATCAAGAGGGCAAAGTGTGGGACATAGATAGCCATGAGCAGGGTGAACACCACCAGGGCACACCTGAGGGTGAGCCCCCAGGACTTGAGCCGCCCGTCACCCCCGTAGCAGTTGGGGAAGAATGCCCTGTTTCCATCCTGGAAAAGGGATCGCTCCAGGACCTCCACAGCTGCAAAAAACGGCAAGGGGTAGGAGAGCAAGGCTTTGGCCACCAAGAAAATGTTGACTACTGCCCTAATGGTGGATGGCAAGTTGTCTGTGATGACCTCCTTGGTCTCGTCAGCCCAGGTCAAATAGGCGACCAAGGCAAAGAGTCCCTTAAGGATGCAAGCTGCTATGTGCGTCCAGTTCATCATGCAATGGAACTCCTTGGGGTTCTGCATGTTCCCCTCCAGGGAAGGCAGAAAGATCTGAGAGGTGTAGCTGAAGACAATGATGCCAATGGAGATGGGAAACTTCTTCACATCGATGTAGAACTTGACCTTGTCCCACGCCCAGTCACGTGCCCGGGAGAGGCAGTAGGCGATCACCAAGATGTTGATGACAAAGTGGGCCAATGTGCAGAGCAAGCTGAACTTGGAGACTGCCTTCAGGTTCTTCAAGAACGCGCAAGGCAGGAGAACGGCTGTGGCAATAATGGACCACGACTTCTGGGATACGGGCAGGTTAGGGAAGCTGTTGTACATCAGGTTCCCACTGACAACCACGTAGAGGATGCAGGTCATGACCAGTTCAATGATCTGAGCCACATTCACAATTCTGCCTCCCAGCGTGGGGAAGCGGGGCGCGCAGCACGCGTTTGCTATGTCCACATAGGAGTCTCTCACCCTGACTATCTCCCCATCCTCATTCTCTTCGTAAAGACAGGCAATAAGGATTTTCCCAGTGTAGCAGCAAACCACCGCGGCGAAAATTATTAAAAAGAGTCCTAGGTATCCACCATGAAGGATAGCATAGGGCAGGCCCAGCACAAACATCCCCTGGAAAGAGACAAAATGGAAACCGTGTTGCTCTCCTGATGGAGGGGCCAGGCAGTGAGCAGGCGCACACCCACTGCCTCAGCCACATGCAGTGACACCAATGGCACAGCCCACAGCCCCACAGTCACACCGTGTGGTCACGATGACACGCACACCCTTCTCTCTCCATCATGCCACCCACGCCATCACACCCATGCACACCCGCAGCATCGCACCCCGGAGCACCCACAGCAAGCAAGCACAGCTCTGCCACCCAGCTTTTACCCAAATCTCCACCCTGTGTGTTCCCAGCACCCTCCGTGCACCAAGAACCCATCACCCTGCAGTGCCATCCATCCTAACATGGGGGGGACCAGCACAGACCCCCCCACAGCACATCCCACCTCCCGCATGCTGCCGTTGGGGCAGGCAGGGCAAAGCAATACGGATGTTTTGTTTCCAATTTGGGGAAAGGGAGGAGATTATTGTTTCCTTTTTTTTTTTTCCCCCCTCTTTCTCCCATTTTTCTTTTTTTTCCCATTTTCCCCTGCTTTCTCTCTCTCTCTCTTTTTTTTTTCCCCTTTCTTTTTTCCTTTCTTTTTCTGCCGAAGGGTATTGCACCCCAACACTGCTGAAGGGGACAAGGGCTGAGCCCAGAGATGGGAGCGGGGCTGGGGTCGGGGCTCGGATCGGGGCTCGCATCCCGGCGCAAGTGGCAACGGGTGCCCGGCCGTACCTGGATGGCGTTGGTGACGTTCCAGCCCGCCTCCCACGCCGTGATCTTGGGCTTGCCCTGCCCGGACAGCTCGGAACAGACCCCCGCGTCCTTGGAGGCGGAGGGCGGCAGCGGCCCGGTGCCGTCCCGCTGGTAGTGGATGTCCCCCTCCAGAGGCTGCTCGCCGCCCTCCTCACCGCCTTCGGACTTGAGGATGTCCATCTGCAGCCCCTGCCGGTGTTCCATGTCCAGGTCGTCGCAGTGAGCGAAGCCCACCGCCTCCTCGTCGGTGGCCGCCTGGAAGCCCATCCTGGCGAACATGCCGCTCATCTTCGCCTGGGACTTGTTGGACACCGAGGTGGCCACGTTGGACAGCTTGCTGCGGAGGAGCGTGGCCATGGCGGCTGTCGGGCTCGGAGGGCCGTGGAGACGCAGAGACCCGACGGGGCGGGCGGGCGGCGAGGCGGAGGCCGGGACCTCGGCGCCGGGAGAAGAGCGACGGCGGCGGCGGCTGCGGGAGGCTCTGCCGAGCCGCTACCTCCGCTCCCGAGCGCAAGGCGAGCGGCTGCGCTGCGGGCTGCCCTGGGGCATGCCACCGCTGCGGGAAGCCGCGGGCCCTCCCGCCCCGCTCCGCGCCGCTCCGCTCCTTTCCGCCGGTCCCTCCCGGACGGCGGCTGTCGCCGGGCTGCGGTGGTCACAGGTCTGCGGCTGTCACCAACCGACGGCTGTCAGCGGGCGGCCGGCGCAAACCCCTGGCAGAGAGAACCGCGTCTCCATCGCAGTGCGCCCACCTCGCGGAGAGAAGAGAGGGGAGAGGATTGCTGCATTTCTGGGGGAGGTACCAGCGGCCCCGGCCAAGCCCAGCCTCCCCCCCCCGGCACGGTGACACCCACGCCCGCCGGGTCCCGCCAGCAGCGCCGCAGCGCGGCTCCCCCCGGCCCCGCAGCCCCCCGCAACCCCTGACCCGCAGCCTCGCAGCCCCGCTTCCAGCCCCTTCCCCCCCGCGAACCGAGCATCAGAAGAAAAACGGCCCCACTGAAGGAGCGGACAGGCGGCTCTCGACAGATTCTCAACGAATTTCGCCTCCTCGCAGCCCCTCCCTTGTCGTTTTTCTACCCAAAACCCCTCGCACCCCCCTCGGAGCCCGGGGGCAGCGGGAGAAGCACCGCCTCGGGAACGCAGCGGCAGCACCGACGGCTGTTGGTCCCGCTCTGCTCCGCTCCGCGCCCGGGCTTCGCTCTGCCCCGCGCCGCTCCGTGAGCGGCACCGAGGCTTTTCTCGGGCTCCGCTCCGTCTGACGGAGTCACTTCCCATTTTTCCTCGTAAAAATCCATTTTTCCGTTCTGATCCCCTGAATGCCCATACTTATATTGAACTGAAAAGCCCTCCGCTAATTTTCTTTGTTTAATTGTCCCCGAGGTGCGCAGCCCGCATAACGGCCACGGGAGATCCGTGCGGGGAGGCGCGGGGGGAGCGACAGCATTTGGGGTTCGGGACCGGTGGGAAACAGCAGCGCTGCGGCACTGCGTGGGGATCGCCGAGGTTCTGTGGTTCAGGAGAAAAATAATAATAATAATAACAATAATAGACGTTCCCGGAGTGTAGGTGGGGGGAGCGCCTGTTTGGTTCGCTGCTTTTCGGAGGTTACAACGAGCATTTTTATTTTACTACAGACAACGGAAAACACAACGCTGAATGATTTCCTGATGCCGTTCTTTGGGATGGGGGTGGAGGGGAAAAAGGGGAGGGCTGCGGTTGGGGTGCGGCACGGAGCGGAGCTTCCAGAAAACGCCTCAAATACCGCCGCCCCCCCAACCCCCCCTTATTTTATTTTATTTTATTTATTTATTTTCCTTCTGACGGAAGCAGGAGGGGACTTAGGTGCAAAGCGGATGAAATGCGTCAAAAAGAGCCGTCGCCGCAGCGAGGCTGCACCCCACGGGGGTCTTTCGGTCGCCGTTACCCTCCGGGCCCGACCCCAATGGGAATCGCACTGCGCCGGGGCGGGGATTAACACAAATCAGTGCACAAATAGGTCGAGAAACAAAGAAAAAAAAAAAAAAAAAAAAAAAACAACAACAACAACAAAAGAAAACCCGAACCATCAAATGCGCGGATGAACACCTCGGGGTTCATGCAACGATTTTTTAAAAATTTTCGTTATTATTATTACGATTTCTTATTTAACCTGCGATAAGTTCATTGCAACAGACGCGAAGGAGATCGATGTTCGGGGGCCGCAGAGGGCGTCAGGGAGGAAACAACGAAAATCCGCCCAAATCGCGGCGTGCTGCGGGGGCATTGAGGCATTTTCCCCCTCCTCCCCATCTCTCGCCCCGCAGAGCCCCGGCCCTGCACCGCTGAGGCCCCGCACGGTGCGGAGCTGCGTGGTGCGTCGGGCTCGGGAAGCCTATTTAGAAACATCATTTAAATAATGATGATCATCATTATTAAAAACACCGAAAAACTCCACCGGAGCCTGAAAATGACCCCGGTCCGGTGCGGGACAAACGTGTCCCCAGGCAGCGCCAGCCCGGGGGAAGATGCATCTGGGCGGGAGCACGGGGCTTCGTGCCGCTGTTTGGATACAGCGGTACCCCCACAAACACCCTCACAGCCCCGGCATACACCTGCCGAGATAAATGGGGGGGTGAGGGGTGCCGGCGGGCTCAACGCTGCGGGCACAGGAGGGATGCGGGCTCTTCCTCGACTCCCAAATTCCCCCCCGCTTCTGGGGCATCGCTGAGCCCCCCCTGTCCCGTGGGACCGCCGTGGGGACCGCAGCCAGGGCAGCCCCGATCGCTGCTCCGCGTCCGAAGGTGGGAGAAGGAGATTTTGTTCGGCGGCTCCTGGAAATAAAAATCACCCCGAACTTCTGTCGGCGGCTGAAAATGGGGAAAGAACGCAGCGAAAGGAAGGGAAATAAAAAGAGAAAAAGGAAGGAAAAGGAGGAGAGAGGCAGAGGAAGAGAAGAAAAAGAGAGGTACGGAGAGATGGAGAGGAGGATCGGGGCATTTACCTCTGCTGCTCGCAACGCGCTGCTCCGCCGGGAGCGGGACTGGGAGGAATGGGGTACGTGGGGTGGGGAGATGCGGGGATGGGGAAATGGAAGGATGCGGGGATGGGGGCTGCGGGGATGGAGGATGCAGGGATGGGGGGTGCGGGGCTGCAGACGCGTCTCTCCTGTGCCCCCCCTAATTCCCATTTAACCCAAGCAAGATCGCGTAGCCAAACCTTACCCAAAGGTTAGCGGGTCTCGGGGGAGCGTTTGAGCCGCAAATCTTCTCAGATGGAGCTAAAAGGAGAGAGCACAGCAACGAGCTGCAGCCCCTGCTCTGCGGCTGCAGGGCGCTCCCTCTGCCTGGCGCTGGGGGCTTCGGGCGTTGCTCCCCCCGCAGAAGGGAGGGGTGGGGGGTCCCGGCACCGCTCGAGGAGCAGCCCCGGGGGAGCAGCCCGCCCGGATCCCCCGGCTGCAGGAGGTGCAGATGGAGGAAAGATGCTGCCTTATCTGCACAGAGCAGGCTCAGGGGTTGGGGCTGGGATTTCCGATTAACAAAGTGAAGGGAACAGAGCTCCTCATGCTTAAAAACCGTTTGAGGAAGGCAGAAAGGCTGAGCTTTAAGCAGGCTGTGCTTTTGCAGACCTCGGTGCCAGCCCCTCTCCGAGCTGCGGAGCACCACGGCAGCGCAATTACCCGGGCTGCTCCCCGGGCCAGGCCCCCGCACCTCAAAGCATTTCATTCCTATGGCTTTTCAGTGCGCTTCCTCAAACACAGCATTGCAAACCACGTTTGAAACAGCCATAAGAAAGAAAGGGATCGAAAGCAATCCCTGCATGCTCAGCCTCACCCCGCTCCGCTGCGCTCACAGCCCACGCAGGTCCTGAGCTGGGTGCAGTGCCCCAATCCCCGCATCCCTTCCTCTGTGGAGTGGCTCAAAACTCCATACAAACCCCCAAGAGCTGCTGCTGGGCGTCTCAGCACAGCAAGGAGAAGGGAGAAGGCCAGGGGAAGGAACTTAACCCTACCAAAGCCTTCCTCGGCCGCATCCTCTCCCAGATCCACCCGTGTGCACTTGGCAAAGCAATGGCCGCAGCCCGACGCGCTCCCCTCGCCCGCAGCCATCGCCCCCAGCTCCGCTCACTCCCCGCCCCGTCCTCCCGCAGCACTGACAGCATAATGAAGAGCGGCACGGTGCGACTATAAAAAGGCAATTAGACAAACTGCTGGATGGGGACCAGCTCTCGTGACCTACTTAATAGCTCGGGGACTTTCGGGAGGATAAGGAAGGAAACGCAGTGGTGGCTGTGGGGTGGTGGGGAGGGAGAGAGGATGCTGCAGCACAGAGACCTGAGCCTCCAGAGCAGCCCCGTGGCACCGAGAGAACAGCTCTGCCCCACGTTGCTCCCTCCTGAACTCCATCAGCACTCAGGGCACAACACAGAAGCCCGTGGGTAGGAGCTGCACTTGCTTCCAGTGATTTTCACTTCATATTTGGGGTCCTGATGGTGAGGCTGCATCCGTTCACAGGATGGGTTTCAAGTCACAGACATCTGTAGGCAGAATTACTGTGCTCTGCGGTAAGGTGAGCACAAGGGAATAAAATCCCAAAATAGCATCTCTGGGAGGTTGCCCACGATGGATGTGTCCTCCTCATTTAATCGTGTTTTTTTTTGGTTGTTTTTTTGTTTTTTGTTTTTATTTGTTTTTATTTTAACTGAACACAAAATGGCTGACTAAATTGGAGAGATGTCAAACAAAGAAATGAGGGGCTGGGATATGGGCATCACCAGTGAGCATGGCTTGGGACTGTGCCCAGGGGAAAACTCACCTGAACAATCCATAAAAACAAAGTAAAGGGTTCTTTAGCCTTTACTTAGCAAGACTCCAAGCTCACTATTTATGAAATAGCCTTCTGATCAGTACTGTGGGAGGTGGCTGTGCAGGGATTTCTGTGATTTGCACTTCCCAGCCCAGCCCCGATCAGCAGTCACATCTATAGACCAAACATTTGCTATCATTTGACCACAACAACTCCTTAACAATGCTTCCAATTAATTGGAATTTAGCCCAGGGTTTGCCTTTATTGCTGTCATAAAAATGAAATGAAAGTCCTTGGTTACCTGCAATGTCGAATTCCCACTTTACAAACTGTATTGTTCCCACGAGCTTAACTGCATTTCCATTGACAAAACAGATAAACTTCATCACTGTCAAATTCAATACGTGTGTGTATGAGCTGAGGGGTTGCGTAGGAAACGATTAGGAACCAGGAAAAGCATCCCTCATCCATGCCAAGATTTTCATTTCAATTTTCATGTACAAAGCATTTCTCTCCTACAGCTGCAGAGTCAGAGCTGTTTTCCAGAAGAAATGAACACGATCCCTGCTCCCAGATCAGCTGTTTTCCTCCAGCATGAAGTTAAGCTCTCTTGGGGATTTTATTTCCTGGTTGTTTTACACAAATCAGGGCTCAGTCACGTGCTCAGTGTATGCTTTATTTCCT